GTCGGGTGATTTATTTTTTAAGCCAGGAGCAGCAGGTGCAGGTGGAGGGAAGTTCTGGCGGCTCACAGCTGTCCTGGGGCCGCTTCCACTTCAGCTGCACGTTGAGGCTGCGAGATGTGTTGAAGAGCGAGGGGCTCAGCAGGTCATACACAGCATAGGTTCTCCTGTCTCCCTGGACAACAGCTTCCAGCACGGATGCTGGAGCAGGTGTCACTTCCAGCAACTCCTTTTCCTGAGAAAGCAAGTGGACCATAAAAGGAAAAGTGCCCCTTGGAAGCTACTGGCAGCACTGGGCAAAACCTCTCTGGTTGGCCCTGAGATTTCCCACCCAACAGCCAGCTCAGAGCTCTGACTAACACCACCACTCCCTTTCATTAGCCCCAGAGGGCTCCTGGAGGCCCTGGCTGTGCAAGGCAAGGATCATTCAGAGCCCCAGAGTGGCTGAGCATTACCTTGTTCTTAGGGGAGATGTCAACGTAGACTTTGCTCTGCGATGCCAGGGGACACGCGTCCGTGAGCGTGCGAGAGAACATCTTAAAGAGGGACCAGTCTGTGGGAGGGAAAGTCAGTGGCAGAGTGAGGTGCCACGGGCTGGGAGGCTGGAGGACCGCAGAGCACTGCTGCCAAGGTACCTTTCTTTCCTTGGCCACTGGAAAAGGTGTCGAAGACCACAGTGAGGGTCTGTCTGAGCTCCCAGGACACAGCCAGGCAGGAGGCATCCTGGACAAGAGAGAGACAGGTGACTCTGATCACAACTTCTGGAGGGGCAGGACAGCAGGAGGGAGCAGGAACTCCAGTAGGACTGCAAGAATCCCATCGGGAGGAAGGTAAGACCACAGAAGCAGGATGACAGCTGCATTAGACACAGTGAACCCACCAAGGGGGATCTCAGTGAACCAATGTGTCCCAGTGCAGCCTCACAAGATGTCTTCTGGTGTTCCCTGGGGGGTGTTCAAGGAAAGAGCCCCAAGCCCCATGCTTACCCTGCAGATGGGGCGGATGTGCACGGCCTGTGAGTGGTAGCTGCTGTGGAACAAGCGCTCGGCCTTCAGCAGCACAGCCAGCCCAGCCTGCCAGGAGAAAAGGAGAAACCCAGCCCCAGGTCTGGTCTCTGCTCCCACTGGCAGCAAGACCCTGCTGAGGCTTCCCAGAGCACACTCCCAGGTTGCTGTTGGAAACCCAGCTCAATCAGGAGTGGCCTGAGGGGACAGCAGGACTTGCTGTTACCTTTGAGCCGCACGGGAGCAGCTTCTTCCAGGGAGTGAGGTTCTCTGTGCAGACAACCTCCCGGGGCAGGACAGCGTATCGCAGGAGGTGATGATCTGTCCCTGGGCAGGGAGGTGAAGCATCAGCAGGCAGGTACTGCTCCAGGCACCAGAGCAGCACCAGGCCTGTCCCACCCCCCAGTGAATAACACAGCCCATAAAACAAGCATGGAATGCCATCAGCTCAGTTGGGAATGGATCCCTCTCTGTTCAGAGTGATTTGGAAAGAACAGGGAAGGGCATCCCCTAGCAGTTTTTTTTTCCCTGAGCCCTGCAGTCCTCACCAGCTCTTTCATAAAATGTTTCAGAGAGACAGGCGAGGGCCTGGGAGCATCTGCCACATGCTGCTCCTGGGGTTCCTGTGCTCAATGTCAAGCCTTGTTCATCAGGAGATGAACTGCCTCCCAGAGGAGGTGAACAGACCCCACTGCACGCACAAAGTCCTTGCAGGACCTGTCCCCAGAGAGGCAGAACTGCAGCTAGAGACAAGAGCAGGCAGAGCCAGGTGGGCTCACCGTTGGCTAAGCCCAGGGGCTTGAAGGATGCTGTGGGAGTGACTGTGTTGGTTGAGTCAATGAAGTTGAGAGAAGCACAGAATATTCCCGAGAGGATGTTACTCAGTTCTTTCCAGGCTTTGTCCACACTGTGTGAGAACAGATAGAAGAGATTACTCAACAGCTCCCCTTGGAACAAGCAGTGTTAAGTTCACTAAACACACTGGGGTGCAGAAGCTGCAGGGAGTGTGCAGGCAGAGCCTGCTGGTCCTGCCTCCAGTTCTCTTGGTGTTTGATTCTAATGCATGAGATTTGGGGACATTCAGAGCAGGGGCAGCCCCTGGGACCTGGTGGTATATACCAGCTGGTATACAAGGAGATGGGCTGGGGGAGCAGGGACGTGCAGTGTGTGGGGAGAAGGGGTTGTGAGACCTATAGCAACACCTTGGTGCAGCTCTGAAGGCTGACCTGGCCAACAGACCTCATATGGGCCACTTGTAGGACTTTGCAAGTCCGTGTGGACCTCAAAGAGGGACTTGGTGCTAAGGGAGATGGTGACAAGTGTTGGGTGGAAGTCAAAGAAAGAGAGTCATTCACGAGGGGCTGCAGTATAACCTCTGCAGCACGGGGTTGGTCATCACAGCCCCTAAGGAAATTATTTGTTCCTTTAGTGAACTAGGAATTTTCCCTCAGCACCACATCCTGTCCCACGGGCTGAGTGGGGCTATGTTCTCCTTTTCCTTAGGGGAAAAAGCCCCCGGGGCTGCAGGCTTTTTATTCCAGTGGTCGTTTTCCCAGCGGGGAGGCCCCCTCCCACACTGTGGCTGCCTCGTGTGAGAAGGGTGACAGCTCCCAGGAGCGGCAGCCGTGGCAGGGGAACCCGGAGGGACAGCCCCGTGGCCGGGGTACCTACTCGGTGACGGTGGGCTGGAACCAGACCCAGAGCTCAGCGCCGGCGGGTGCCTGCAGGGGGGGCTGCCCCCAGGCCTGGGTGCGCCAGAAGCCCTGCGTGAGGGCGAGGTGAAGCTCCCGCCACCCCAACGCCGACACCAGCCGCCCCCGCCCCT